AGACCGCCACTTGGCCGGTGTAAACGCTGCGCACGCTCATGCGATTCCAGCCTCATTTTTAAAAGAAAAAAAAATATCTATCGTACGTTCAATATGCGACGCACGCGTATTGCAATATATGCCTCGCAAACAGTCGCCAGTAGCGGTCAGACCCCTCGCCTCGCAAGTCGGAGGACCCCAGGGCTCGATTCCAGGTCGGGGGGTGAAACGTTAGGTAGATCTTCTTACTCCGCACACGCACGCAAACACACGCGCACACTCACGCACACGCAACACACACACGCCTCTGTTTACCGGCAGTCAGTAGGAACCCGGTTGTTAGTCGTAGGATCGTAGTACGTGTACAGCACAGAAGGAGGCCATTCGGTCCATCGTGTCTGTGCCGGCTCTTTGAAAGAGCTTCCCACTCACCCGCGCGCTCTCTCTCTCTCTCTCTCTCTCCCCATAGCCCACAGTCAAAAAATAATAATCACAATAATAATAATTTGGTCACTTCAATCCACGACTGTTTTTAATGGGGCACTGCTCTGTGCAATCGGCCGCTGCGTTTCACCCACAAAATGTACAGTCACTGCACTTTACAGTATACTCTGCGAAGCGCTTTGAGAAGTTTTGAAGCTGTGATAAGGGTCAAATGCAAGGATTAATATCATTATTATTATTATTATTATATTATTCTCCTCTCAAATCCCCTGGATTGAGTTTCCTTGGCAGTTTGCGGTGGTTGGTCGGGGGGGAGGGGTGGGGGGGGGGGGAAGGGGAGTCGGGAGGAGAACATTCCACAAAAAAATTCCAAAGCAACTTCCAGCTGTAAAATGACCCAGTTTCAAAGCTCCGGGGATCGAGAAGGGTTGGTCTGGTCTCTGTCTCCTTCGCTTTTGCGGACGGAATTTTTACTTTGCCCTTTTTTCTTCTGCAAACGGTGAAGAGCGAGTGACGGAGAGCGAGCGGGAGGGAGGGAGCGAGGGAGAGAGCGAGGGGGAGAGCGAGGGGGAGAGCGAGGAGAGAGCGAGGGAGAGAGCGAGGGAGAGAGCGAGGGAGGGAGCGAGGGAGAGCGGGAGAGAGCGAGGGGGAGCGAGGGGGGGAGCGAGGGAGGGAGCGAGGGAGAGAGTGAGGGGGAGCGAGGGAGAGAGCGAGGGATAGAGCGAGGGAGGGAGAGCGAGGGGAGTGAGTGATGCTGAGGATGGCTGCTGCGGGGGCTGTGCTTGCGCTGTGCGCTATTCTCTCGTGCGTTGGGGTCTTGGCCCAGAGGGGATCGGTGATGCACAAACTGGCCGACAGGAAGATCTGTGCAGACGAGGAATGCAGCTGTGAGTACCGGAGCCAGTCCCCCCGCTGAGCTGAGCTGGGTTTAAATCCCCCCCCCCCACCCCCCAAAAACACAGGGGGCTATTCCGCCGATTCTGCTCTCGTGACTGCTCCCCCCACTCTCCTCCTCCCCCCCCACCGCGCTCCTCTCCTCTCCCTCTCCCCTCAGCCTTCTCCCCCTATCCCCCCTTTCTCCTGCCCCCCCCCCCACTCCCACTTAACATAAATCATATTAAATGTCTGGTCACTACACCTTAAGGTGAAGCATTTTGAGACGTCTTGATGACGTGTTGAGGCGCTGGGTCGAATGCAAAGATGATTATTATTATTATTATTGCCCCCTCCCTCCCTCCTCCCCACCCACCGACTCCACCACCCGCCGCCTCTGCTCGACCGGCTCCGGCCTCCCGTTTGCCCCCTCTCGTCCACTCCCTCCCCTCCGCCATCGGCGTGGCCGTGCCTTCAGCCACTGCGCTCCGAAACTCTTGTCGCTCTCTCTCTCTCTCTCTCTCTCCCCCGATTCCCTCCGCCTCTCCCCACCTTCAAATCCCACCTAAGGGGCCTTCCTCTTTGATTCGCGCTTACGGTCACCTCCCCCCCCCCCCTCACGCCCCCTCCCTACGCTAACCCGTGCGAAGGGAGCGCTGTGTAGACGCAAGGTGTTGTCGTTGCTGATGATGATCGGCACTGCCAAGCTTTTCCTTTATGTCTCCCAGACCCGATGGCCATGGTCCGAGCTGTGGGTGATTACTCGGGCTCGGACTGTAGGTTCATCAACGTGCGTCAGGGCCAGATCGTGTACGTGTACGCCAAGCTTAAGGGCAGAGGACGCAACTTCTGGCAAGGCACCGTGAGTCGCTGAGTGATTGCACTGCGCTGTGTGACTGACGCCTCTGCCTGTAGTGAGGCTGTGACTGACTTCTCCGTCTAGTGAGGGCGTGTAACCGATGTGTCTGCCCGTCGTCAGGCTGTGCGACTGACGTCTGCCCGTAGTCAGGCTGTGCGACTGACGTCTCCGCCTGTAGGCAGGCTGCGTGGTCGACGTCTGCCTGTAGTGAGACTGTGTGACTCACGTGTCTGCCTGTGGCGAAGCTGTGACTGACGTGTCTGCCTGTGGCGAGGCTGTGTGGCTGACGTGTCTGCCTGTGGCGAAGCTGCGTCTGACGTGTCTGCCTGTGGCGAGGCTGTGCGTCTGACGTGTCTGCCTGTGGCGAGGCTGTGCGGCTGACGTGTCTGCCTGTGGCGAGGCTGTGCGGCTGACGTGTCTGCCTGTGGCGAGGCTGTGCGGCTGACGTGTCTGCCTGTGGCGAGGCTGTGCGGCTGACGTGTCTGCCTGTGGCGAGGCTGCGTGACTGGACGACTCCGCCTGTACTGACGGCCGCCTGTCCCCAGGCTCAGGGCAGTTACTACGGCGGGGAGACGGGAAAGCTGGGCTTCTTCCCGAAGGTGATCGTGAGGGAGCTGCAGCGGCTGGCGACGGAGACGGTGGAAATGCCGACAGATGTACGTACTGCTTCGCGCTCGTAGCTTCTCTTTGCCTTCTCATTGCGCCCGCGTCTCCCTGTCCACTGTCTGGCACTGTCCCAGGGGCTGGGATTGTGCAGCCTGTAGCTCGGGGGTTAGACCCCTCGCCTCGCAAGCCAGAGGACCTGGGTTCGATTCCCAGGCGGGTCAGGTCAGGGCAAAACCTTCGGCTTGTTTCTTTACTCCACACACACACTCACGCACGCGCGCGCGCTCGCGCCTGTTTACCAGCAGCAAGAAAGAACCCGTTTTGCACACAAAGTACGCAGTCGCTACGCTCGACGGTATATTCTGTGAAGCGCTTTGAGGCGTCTCAGCGACGTGATAAGGCGCCGGGTCAAACCCATCAGTGGCTGAGTTTTTAAGCTGTTGAGTCGACCGTCGCCTCACTCCCCACCTTCGAAGCCCGTCTCAAGACTTAGCTCTACTCACTGTGCTTTCAGTCATCACTTTTTCCACCCCCCACCCCCCCAACCTCTCCCCCACCCCCACAGATTGTTCAGTTGCCCAGTCTGCAGCATGAAGGACTGCGAGACGTCCTCCTGCCTTGAAAGGCACTGTGCACATTAAATCTAAATTGTATATTTACAGTATATTCTGCGAAGCGCTTTGAGATGTCTCGGAAGGCAATAAAGGTGCCACATCAAATTGCGAGGATTATTATTTTGCAGGACTGGGATTTCTACTGTCAGTGAGTGAACCAACAAGAGACGGAATCAGCCCTCGACCCTCAAAGCCACACGTGGAGGAATGTCAGTGGGTTTGTGCCCTCACACTCACAATTGTAACAAGAAAATCCAAATACATCTAAAGCAATCCACTCTCTCATCATCGTTTCATTCCCAGTGTGAGCAAGGATTCCACTTGGCTCCTGTTGGGTCCTTTTCAAACCCACCTCTTCCATCACCCCACCCCACCCTCCAGATCCCAACCCCCAGCTCGGGTCCAAACCCCTGACCGTCCAGCGACTTGAGACGTTTTCCCGACGTGAAAGGCGCTGTGTAAACGTCATTTGTTGTTGAGACAACTCAAAGAGATCCACAGGATGTAATGTAAAGCACAAGGAGATGGAGCTGGAAGATAAGGAGAGGGCGAGGCATGGGGTCGAGGGAGCAGGTGGTCGCTTTCATGTGGGTTATAATGGTGGTGAGAGGAAGGGAGACAGGTTTGAAGGTGTGGAGGGACGGGTGGGTGAGTAGGGGCCGGAGTGTGAGCGGGGATGGGGAGGGGGTAGCAGGTGGAAGGGCATAGGCGGCTGAGCGAATCCCCTCGGTTTTGTTCTTAAGAAGGAAGTCCAGCATCTCCTCGCAGTTGCATTTGACCCGGCGCCTTATCACATCTTCGGGACGCCTCAAAGCGCTTCACAGAATACACTGTAAAGTGTAGTGACTGTATGTTTTGTGGGCGAAACGCGGCAGCCAACTGCGCACAGCAGCGTCCCCACAAACAGCCGTGGATTGTGCGACCAGATTGTTATTATTTTTTTTGGAGGAGAGGATGGGCGAGGTGCGAGAGGGTGGGCAGAGGAGGCGGTAGGTGGTGGGTGGGGTTGTCCTTGGTCTCCGGGGAGAGACAGAGCACATTCCATTCCACTCCCTGAGATAAAGACCATCAGCTCGGTCGGTGTCGGGCTGCAGCACCCACAGCATTTACAGCTGCAGCAACCGCAGTAAACACACAGAGCGCAAGAATGAATGAGAAAAGGTTTTATTCGTAAAAATTCTTAAGATACACCCACAACCCGCCCCCACACACAGACAAGACACACATAACCACCCACCCCACAGACAAACACACACACACACACACTCCACTGGGATACAGAACTTCACACAAGGACACACAGCTTTCACATTACATTTAAACAAGATGCCATAAAAATACCCAATTGTATATATATATTTATGTATAATAGATAATATATAAATTTAAAAAAAATCACACTGTACAGGAAAATGCCGAGATGATAAACCACTTCGCTGTGGAATCAGATCAGATTTCTCACCTTCACCGGCAAATCCTGACAAGTCACGAATTACACACCGAGGGAACAACGCTGCTCAGGGAAAGCCCTCGCAGCAAGGCAGCGCCCGCCCAACATTCATTTAAATTTTTTTACAGATCAGCCCCTGGTCTGATAGAATGTGTGGGGGGGGCGGTGAGGGAGAGACAGGCTCGACATTCCTGCTTTTAGAACAGCTCCAGAAAGCAAACTGCCAGCGTTGCCATCGAATGAAGCCCCAACTCTTAACCCTCCACCCCTCCTGACCCTCCTGATCCGACCACCAGCTGAGGTGCGGATCCCTAACTGTCCAAGTGCTTTGGGACGTCCTCCTGACGTGAAACGTGGCGGGTAAATGTCGTTGGTCGTTGCTGGATTCCCGGAGGAACCTGAACACAACGAGTCAGTTCAGCTGTCGGGGAGGTTTGACGTGAGGTGAGAGAGGAACGGTGCTGAGCTCAGACTGTTGCACTCTCTCTCTCTCTCCCTTTACTTCACAACAGCAATCGCACTTCACGACGGTGAGATGTCTGTGGCCGACAGGACGGGACCCAGCGCTGCGGTCTGGCTGAAGAGAGAACAGGGCGAATCGGATCTGCTGGTCAGGTCCCCGTAACTTCCCGAGCACCTCATGGTCTCGTGCAGCCTGTCCCAAGCCCGAGGGTCGTTGCTCTGCACGGCTCTACACAGCAGCCTGGTGTGTTCCTTCAGCTCGCTGATCTCCCGCTGGGTGCTGCTGTTCTGCCGGATCAGCTCCTTGGTTCTCAGGGTGATGCCCAGCAGCCCGGACTTATCCAGGATCTCCAGGGTGTTGTGGAAGCGCCTGTGCTTCAGCAGGTTGGAACGCTGCTTCTTCCCGGCAGCGTTCCCGGGACCGCTTCCCGCGAACGCTCGGACGCTGGCGGAGCGCGAGGTCCCGCGGGGGAACAGCGAGCAGAGCGGGAGCGAAGAAGAGGAGAGCGCGGGCTGGGAGAGAGGAGAGGGCAGGCCCAGAGAGGACGAGGGTGAGGACCACGACGTCACTTCGGGGTCGTTTACACGATGCCCGAGGCCAAAGGCGGGCGGTTGTTGGCTGGTTACCGGAGCCTTGGCCGGGGGTCTGGTGCTCGGGAAAGGGGAAGCCTCCGACGGGCTCCTTCCGGCCTCAGGCCCGGACGAGCGCTTGCTGACCCTGTGCCCGGCCTCCAGCAGTAGCCCCGGGCTCCGTCTGTCGGGGTGAGGAGCGATCTTCGGGTAAGAATTTAAAATGGGGAGGTAAGTGTCTTTCCCGGCTCCGGCATTCTCCTCTGTCCTCAAGGGTCTCGACTTGGCCGGTAACGGCTGTCGCAGGACTAGGACTCGGTTGGGGTCTGGTGCTGTGCCCAGCGGGGGTCTGGCGCGCCCCCAGGCCCGCAGCTGGGCGTGAAGAAGCTGGTCACCGGTTGGGATAGATAAAGGCTGTTGGCGATCAAAGGCAGAATTAGGACAAGGCTGACATCATCAGCAACCTGGCTCCTCATTTCCACCTGGCATTTGATACAGCGCCTTGTCACGTCTTCAAGACGTCTCATTGCGCTTCACAGGACATACTGTGAAGTGCAGTGACTGTACACTTTGTGGGCGAAACGCGGCAGCTGATTGCACAGAGCAGTGCCCCACAAACAGTCGTGGAGTGAGTGACCGCATTTTTAAAAAGAATTTTTGTTGTTGAAGGGATTATTACCCCCAGAAAGTGATCTGCCAAACGATTAACAAGCGAGTTCCCACTTGCTGCTAGGTAAACAGAGGAGTGTGGAGTCAGGAAACTTGACCAACATTTCGCCCTGCCCGGGAATCAAACCCAGGTCTCTCGCTTGCGAGGCGAACGCTCTAACCACTGAGCGAACGCTCTAACTCTAACCCCTTTACAGCATCAAAATGTTTACTTGAACAAATCCCGGCGTCCTGGTTTCACTCCTCACCAACCCATTCCAGTAATTGATTCCATCTTAAACAAACCTAGACCTGGGATTATGTGCCAATTCAAGCGCCTTGAGGCGTCCTCCTGACGTGAAAGGCGCTACACAAATACAAGCGCTATGCACTATTTCGACCGTACCTCTTTAATCATGATGTAAACTGGGGCCAGCCCGGTGAAAGGATTTCTCAGTACTGCCGCCTTGTGAGCCCGCCTCAGCGCTGAGTGTCTGCCACACACCAGGTTCAAACTGGCTTGATCTTCGCAATCCATCTGCTCAACAGCGCTCAGATATTCTGAACTGGTATCTGATCAGGAGAAAAACAAAGGGATACCTCAGTTATTGAGAGGGAAAGGCAATTATTGCACATTACAAGTCACCCTCAACACAAGGGCCAACTGTGACACCGCTCAATTTGAAAATGACTGTACAAATATTAACCATAGTTTTATTACTCTTGAGGACCCGCTCTTCTCAAGTCTCTTCACTTTGCATACTACCCCACACCCCCGACTGTTTAAAAGATTCTCAATGATACTTTTGGTCAACAGTCCTGTAGCGTAGTGGTTAGAACACTCGCCTCGCACACGAGAGGACCTGGGTTCAATTCTGATTCCCGGGCAGGGCGTAACGTTGGGCAAGTTTCCTTACTCTACACGGCCCTCTGTTTACTTAGCAGTAAATAGGAACCCAGTTGTTAAGTCGATTGGCGGATTGGGGGTAACAATCCTTAAAAAAAAAGAATAATAAATAATAATATGGTCACTCAATCCACGGCTGGTGCTGTGCACAATTGGCTGCTGCGTTTCTCCCACAAAATATAGTCACTACACTTGACAGCATATCCCGTGAAGCGCTTTGAGACGTCTCGAAGATGTGATAAGGCGCTGTATCAAGTATAAGGATTATTTAGTACCTGAGAAGCCGGAATCCTTCTCGGACTCGCTAGTTGAGGGCCGGTGTCTCTTCCTGCTATTAACCACAGAGCTTCTCCTCTGCACTTGGCCCCTTTGCCCGTCAGATGAATTCTCGGATTTAACGGATGCCTGGATACCATCCTGGTCATGTTTGAAGGATTCAGAGATCATCTCAGACACTTTATCCGCAGACATGCTTCCTTTGAAAGGCTGAAAGATATTTTGAACGGGGAAGTTTAATTCTGTTCTTTTAATATTGAAAATACAGTTTTAAACACTTCTAACAAATACGTTACACAGCTGCACCACATCTGCATCTGTGAACCAATCTCAGGCCCTGAGGAACCCACCAGTGCTGTGTGCATCTCTACCTGCTGGAGAGCTATGGACAAACACTACAAACTCTTGCTTTTGGTAAACAAGATATCTCCTTCCCCACCTTCTGCCATGGTCTCCTGTGGACGAGAGGGTGGAAGACAATCTGCTAACCAACTGGCACCTGGTTGTCATGCTCTACACTTTGCTGTGTATCCTGTGAAGTGCTTTAAGACGTTTCAACGACTTGATAAGGCGTTATATCAAATGCAAGGATTATTATTATTATTATTAGGGAATTTCTCCAATATCCTGGCCAACAATCTCCCAGCTAAAATTGGTCACTTGCTTCATAACTATTTTTGGCTGCGTGCAAAATGGGATGCATTCACTTAGAATTATAGTGACTACACTATCCTATGAAGCTCTTAAGAGATGTGTTGACGGTGTGCCCAGGCGCTATCTAAATGCAATATTATTATTTTGAATTATTATTGCTCTACAAAGATTGCAATCGCTCTCGTGCAGACCTAAGTCACAGTGAAACATTTGAAAGGTGGTTAGTTAGAGGGTTACTAGGACAGAGAATGCTCTGCCAAAAAAAAAATGGTTCAAGCAGGGTCCGTAATAGCTTTTAAAAGGGAATTAATCGAATACTTTATTTGAAAAGAAAAATATAAAAGGATATGGGAGTTCTGGCACCGGCAGTATGGGCCGCCTCTGTGCTGTAAATTGTTTTACAATCTGTGACTGGGTGTGTTCATACTGACCTTTCGTCTCTGTGACTGGGTTTTAATTCCAGCCCAGAGAGTTAAAATTCTTTCTCTCTCTCTGTTGTTATGGCTCTTACATACTCGAGCAGTGTCAGATCAGCACCTCTTGGGTGTGAGCACAAAGAACACAAAGACACCCACATGCTGACATTAAGGGTGGGATGGGCGCGGCAAAGAGAACATTTCACATGAGTGGCGGGGAAAGGAGCAGAAAGAGCTTTATTCATCTGGCTGCACAGTGGGACGCACTCGGCGCTGACACGAAACAGCAGCTGTCCTTTCAGTAAAAAAACATTAGAACAAAAACATTCATCCATCATGTGGATTGCAACACAAAAACACCCCACACACACTCCAAGGTTTTCTCCAGCCATCATCATCAGCACAATACTTACACACGACCCAAGATACAACTGACTCCGATATGCAACACCGCACAGTAAACCCAAGATTGAAAAGGGTAAAATGCTCTCTCTTCAGCCTTTTTGCCCCTTCCACAGTCCCTTTGCCTTGCTCCCTCCCTGGCCTCCTTCAAGGCCCTCTTCTTCAGCCATCGGTCACCCTCCTACCCTTACCCTCCCCGCCCTCCACCTCTCCTGATCCCAACCCGCAGCTCGGGTCCAAATCCCTGACGGCCCAGCACTTTGGGGACGTCCTCCCAATGTGAAAGGCGCTGTGTAAATGGCATTTGCTGTAGTTGAACTAACGCGTTAATAATCCTAACTAATTAATTAGTTGATTAATAATAACGCATTTTAATTTTCATCTTTTCTTCTCTGTGGAAATCTGTTCCGAGTTCATCTATTCCCCTCAAGGCGATTCTCTTTTAACTCTCCCACCTGCCCTTAAATTAGTTCCTTTTTCTTTGTGGAAATTGCATTTAACGTCTCAAGTGTCAGTCAAAAACGCGCAGGTTGCGTCCAAATGCATCACATAATAATAGTAGTAATCCTTGCATTTGATATAGCTCCTTTCTACGGCTTCGAAACGTCTCAAAGCACTTCACAGAATACACTATAATGAGAACTGACTGTATATTTCAGGGGCGAAAATGTAGTAAGTGTAGGTTTTTGCACAGCAACTCCACTTGTGACGCCCCTTTTTTTTTAAAAAAAATAAAAACCCCTTTGATCTCCCTCCCCTGATGATACATGACTTTTTCCCTTGAGGTGTGACGGTTCCTCTGGTACCGTACCAGACGGCCAGTCAGTCATGGAGGAGCATCAACAGTGACAGTAACAGGGGAGATGTTACAGTCGCGCATGAATTTATCTGATGTCACTTTTACACAAACTTCCCTTAAACCAGGACCTTGAGCCACAGCTCGACACCTACAAGACCACGGGATCCTCCCAGTTTGCGTGACTCATCTACTCACTGGATAAACGCACTGAACTCAGCTCAGTACCGATCCTCTTACCTATACTACGCACTTCTGGAACCCTGGTCTCGGAAGAGTCCAGTGAAATTCGTCGTGCGTCGTACAGATTCGGAACCCGACACGTGTCGGGCACATCTTACTTCTAAACAAAGTTGCTGTGCTAAAAAAAATCTCCCCGCAAACCTTTATCAGTGGCTATATCTGCTTTCCTCTCAACTCAGCTCAGAGTCCATCCTATTGCACCTGTAATCCAGGGAGCGGAATCAAACCTCTCTCTCTGGCACTCGTGTGGATTTATAAGGGGAGGGGGGGAGGGAAATCACACAAAAACACACACAAATCATCCAGCTCTCAAGGCTCTATTGCTACCTTTCAAACCGTTTGCTCATAACACTAATGGTAATGACAATCACTACTCTGTCAAACGCTTTGAGACATCTCAATGGTGTGATAAGGTGCTTTATCAAATGCGAGGATTATTGAACTACTAATTATTACTATTAATTATTATCAATGCCCATCTTGGACAACAGCGTCCCACACACTGGTGCCTTGAGTTTTTTTTAAAAAAAGAAAACAATTAATAAATAATAATAAAAAAAAGGAATCACCTGGCACAAAACGTGTCTGCAAAACACAAATAATCTCACCACACACATATACACGCAGCAGACATATACACACACACATATATATATGCACACGTTATATATACATACACACACCAGACACATATACACACATGTACACACACACATATATACACACACATCAGACATATACATACAAACACCAGACACATATATACACACACATATACACACACACATACACATATATACATACACACACATATATATACACACACACACACATATACATACACACACACATATATACATACACACACACACATATACACACACACACATATATACACACACACACACATATATACACACACACACACATATATATATACACACACACATACACACACACATATATACATACACACACACACATATACACACACACACATATATACACACACACACATATATATATACACACACACACACATACACACACATATATACATACACACACACACATATACACACACACACATATACACACACACATATATACACACACATATACACACACACACCCACAAACACATACGCGCAAAATGGCAAATAAAACGCCGCAAAGGCGAACGGTTCGCCGCGAAACCGACCAAAAAAAAAAAAAAAAAACCGTGTGCGGTTATTAACCTGTGCGGGTGGGGTGTCCGAGCCGCTGTCCTTCCCTCGCTGTCCTAGTGTGAGTGTGTGCGGCTTCGGGGGGAGAGAGAGAGAGGAGAGAGAGAGGAGAGAGGAGAGAGAGAGAGGAGGGGGAGGGAGGCGTGTACAAGGGACACGTGTAGTGTGTATGTGAGAGGCGCCAGACATGGCACACGCGGCCCGGCATGTGGCTCCCGCCCGCCCTCCGGGCACGTGTGGCCACACGCACACCGCGGCTTCACGTGTCCAATCGCGCGGCCCAGTCTCACACACACACACACACACACACCGGGGTGGGGGGGGGAGGGGTGGGAGCAAAGGCCGAGGATCACGGGCAGCAGCGGCCGCCACACGTCCGTATCATTTATACGACCCCTCGGGTGAGGGGAGGGAGGAGGTGTGGGGGAAGGTGGTGGTGGTGGTGGTGGGATGGGGGGAGAGGACAGAGAGGCCCTCAGATACGCCGCCGCTGGGAAAGCCTTCGGGACAAACCGCGCGACGCCGCCATTTCGCAAAGCCCGGCCCCCCGACCTCTCACACGAACTTGCCCGCACTCTCTCTCTCTCGCTCTCGCATGATCGACAAGCGCGGCGACCAATCGCCAGGCGGCTTTGGGGGGCGGGCCGACCAATAAGAGCCCGAGGCAAAGGCGGGAGGCGTGGGCGGGAGCTAGCGAGTTAGGTTGCCTCCGCCCTCCCCCCCCCCCCCCTCGCTCTCTCTCTCTCGCTCCTTCCCCTCGTGCGCCGACACGTGAACCAGTCGCCAACGGCCAGGCGTCGCCATGGCGACCGCTCCCGGTTGGGGGGGGGGTGGGAGGGAGGGGGCGGGAACGCCTCGGCGCGCGCCGTCGCCATGGAGATCGGGCGCAGGCGGCCAATGGGAAGCGCGCGTGCCTCTGCCACGTGAGGAGCGGTGCCCCTCGCGCCCGCGCCCGAGCCGAGAGCAGGCGAAAGCCAAGCGGCCGAAGGTGATGTAGGAGCCGTTCCTTCTCTCAGCGTTCATCAAATAATAATAATAAAACAATAATCATAATTCCTCTCATCCCCTGCGCCCCCCACCCGGTCCTCCTCCTCCTGTCCCTTGAAACAACTGCGCCAGCGATTTTTCTTCGGAGGCGAAAAAAAACACCCACCACACGCGAAGGGCTTACTTTACCCCCGTCCCGCCCACCACCTTTAAGGCGGTCCCACCGTCACGTGACCCCGGGTCGGGGCCGCGCAGCCGCAGTTGCTTTTCCCGCTCAAAAAAAAGAAAGGCGGCGGCGGCGGTTGGGTCGGTTGTCCGTCCGGCGCGAGGCGTTTACCTCAAACAGCCCCGTGAGTCCGGCTCCCCCGCCGCCCCTCACCCCCCCCACACGAACACACACACACACACATTCCCCTCACGGTTTCCCTTTTAATAACGTTCATTGTTCGTTTATTTAAGTAATTCACAATAACAACAGCGTCCCCCTCCCCCCCCCTCCCCCTGAAGATACGGTTCAAGACCCTGGTCCTCACCTTCAAAGCCCTTCCATGGCCTCACCCCCCCACCACCACCACCTCCCCGACCTCCTGACCACCTTCCCTCCCTCCCTCCGCTGACCGGGCTCCGGCCTGCCTCGCGACCCCCGCCTCGCTCGCCGTCCGCCACTCTGCCCCACCCCCCACCCCGCCCTCTGGAACTCCACCCCGCAGTCCCTCCGACTCGCCCCCCCCTCCACCTCCATCAAGACCCTCGCGAGGCGAGTGCCCCCCCCCCCCGCCGCCGAGCCACGGCCACTCTGAATGGCCCACCCATCCCTTCACCTCGCAAAGTGCTTTGAGACGTTCCCTTCCACCCCCTACAAGTCCCCGCCGGCCGCTCTCGGCAGATACTCGTCCCAGGGCACTGGACAGTTGGGTCGGGACCCGAGCATTGGGGGGGGAAATGGTCAGGGTGAGGGGAGGGAGGGAGCGAGGAGGGGGGGAATGGTCAGGGTGAGGGGAGGGAGGGAGCGAGGAGGGGGGAAATGGTCAGGGTGAGGGGAGGGAGGGAGCGAGGAGGGGGGAAATGGTCAGGGTGAGGGGAGGGAGGGAGCGAGGAGGGGGGAAATGGTCAGGGTGAGGGGAGGGAGGGAGCGAGGAGGGGGTAATGGTGAGGGTGAGGGGAGGGGAGGGAGGGAGCGAGGAGGGGGGGAATGGTCAGGGTGAGGGGAGGGAAGGGAGGGAGCGAGGAGGGGGCAGAGAGTCGAGAGTGGAGCTGAAGGCTGAAGGTCAAAGAGAAAGGTCTTGAGACCGGCCCTGAAGGAGGAAAGGGAGGAAGCGGCGAAGGCACTGGGGATGGGGTTCCAGAGCCTCGGGGCTGAGAGGCTGAAGGCCACCGATGTTGGGGCAATTGGGGCGGGGGATGTGGAGCAGACCGGAGCCAGAGGGAACGGAGGGTACGGGCGGGTAAGTAGGGGGATAGTAGGTCGGAGAGGTAGGAGGGAGCGAGGCCGTGAATGGCCTTGAGGATGAGGATCTTGAATTCGATCCTCTGGGGGATGGGGAGCCAGTGGAGGTGAGCGCGGGCGAGGGTGGGAGTGATGTGGTCGCGAAGCCTGGTGCGGGACAGTACAAGAAGTACAATAACTGTTTTTCTTCCTCCAGAAAATACCTTTATGGCGCACGGCAATCAGAAGAATTAAGAATAAAGGCCTTCCAAGGTAGGTAATCCTTTTGCTGCGTCACTCACAGACTTTATGCGATGAATTGGCAAGTGCTATGAACACTGCAAATCATAAGACTGTTGCTGTAAATATAATCTGTTTGTCACGTGTATGAGAGGATTTCATCATAAAGCAGTAATGGAAAGATCCCTATTCTTAGGTGTTGGTGCATGATAAACCCGAAGCATAATATGTCCTGGATGTAAGGTTATTCCTCCACAACTTTTAATGTTCCTCTACTTCAAATATCTATCTAATTCCCTATTAAAAGAACTGATGGCCTCAAACACAGATAGTGACAGTGATTTCTACCACATTCAGTGTGAACAAATTGTCTTTAATACTCTCATACCTCACTCGAATAACTAGAAAGAAAAGCTAGTGGAGCTGTGGGCAATGCTTTTCGTGGACTCTGAAATGAGGAGAGAAAGCACCATTTAATTGTAATATTTTATAAAGTGGCTTTGTTCCATTAGCCTGCTGCACAGGTGAGAGTGGTCCTGCTTCCAGTGGCACAGTGCGTGAGGAATAGAAAAACATTTAAATATACAATAAGCCATTGCGAACAATTTTTTTTACACACACACAGTTGGAGCTGGTTTCGTACAGACCAAAGTTCAAACTTTTTAAGTAACAGTAAACCAAGAAGTCTTTCAAAGCTCTGAACAAGGGTTTATTTTCCCTAAACTGAGTACCTATATTGGAGATCTCTCCATTGCCTGCTACTGTCTGTGGATTACTCTCTGAAGTCACGTCTCCCTCGGAAATGCGCGGGAAGCACATTACCTCATTAAAAGCAAGGCAAAGTTTAAAGCATAGTTCAGGCAGGTTAGCAAGTAGCTACTGAGAGCAGCCTCCGCTGGAAAGTTTGAACATAGGATTGTAATTGATGGTTCGTTCTTCAATTAATTCTCCAATCAACTCAAGGATCTCTCTTCGCACTCCTGCTTTCTTCCTCCTTCATTATCACTTGACCTTGGTCACTCTTGTGCTGAAGATTCCACTCTACCATTCATTAGCTTCATCGGCTCACACACAGCCCACACTTTTCTCCTGTTGAACCATGTTGCCTTCCATGTGCTCGTTGATGTGACATTGTTCTCTTCAATTTCTCGAAGATACAGATTCCTAATGTTTCACTCAAGTCAAACTAGCAGCTGCCACCTGTTACCTTTGATAGCTAAACTCTAAATGCATCATCTGTTCTGAGCCTCACTCTCTTCTCATCTCCGTTGCTCATGTTGTCTCCACAAGCTGTTCTCTATCCTGGACAAACACTTGTTTTCCCCTAAACATTTCTAACCCTACAAAAGCCCTACTTTATCTGAAGATATGTGGTCCCAGATATGTGGTCCCAAATCTGGGGAGGCCCTTCAAGCTCCTCTCTAAATTATTCCCTTCCCCCCCAAATGATACTGCAGAGTGACTGATAATATTGCTGAATTAATATTCATGACTATTTCAATTATAATCAAAGTGCTTAAATAATGTGTTGTATATAAAAGCATGTGTATTGGTCTCCTCTGAGCTGGAGGTAGAGGAAATTGAGACTTCAAAAGACAGACTTACATTAACTTTAAAAACCTATCACTGGGCTATCCTGTTCAAGCCCCATCCATAACAACATACTCATTTCATGTCACAGCACAAACACAGTTTAATTTGTACAGAGCTGTATTTGGGTAGAGCAATGCTAATGAAAATTGGCTATCTTTTCCTTTAGAGAGCCACTTTCAGAATATCAAGTATTTTGTATTGGTAACTTGGGGAATTTTCTTCAAAGCTCCCAGTGGCTGTCTGGCTGTTATTATTTATGTTCTTTTATCTACGTCTTACACACCATGGGTAAACACCAGGGTACAGAGGGAATTAGAGGTGCCCTGAATGTAAAGGAAACCACCAATTATTTTCATTATTATCCACATAATAGTGTGGTAAGTGACAACATTCCCACTCACTCGGTCAGAATAGGCTGCCTGGGTCACCACACCAGAGAGGAGAAAAGTGAAAGCTGTTCTAGTCCTATCAGATCCGTTGGTGCAACTCCACTCTCAAGCACTTATACAGTATCAGTCTGTCTGTCGGTGGAGGGAACAAGTCACCTGCTATGGAAAGACTTTCTTCTGGCTATGAGGCATCTGGAAAAGAAATAAATAGCCTGAAGGAAATTTTTCAAGGTATAGGCAGACACAGCTTGGGCCCTTCTAAATGTCTAGTAATGATTTGAGGGGAAAGAAATTGAATGGGGCTATGGTTTGACTTGTACTCAATCACAATTTTCAGAAATTCCTCGTTAGTGCGTCTATCTCCCCTTTGGGTTAGTCCTTCGGATGAGATGTTAAACCGAGGTCTCGTCTGCCTGTTCAGGTGGACATTGAAGATCACATGGCACTGTTAAAAAAGAGAAGGGAGTTCCTCTTCATCCTCCCCGGTGTCCTGGTCAACAATCCCCCCCAAAAAAAAACTTCCTGGCTGTGCACAATTGGCGGCTGTGTTCCGCCCACAAAATATACAGTCAATTCACTTTACAATATATTCTGTGAAGTGCCTTGAGCCGTCTCAACAACATGATAAGGCACTATATCAAATGCAACGATTATTATTATTAAAGTTTACTGGCGCTGCTTTTATACCACGTTCTGGAGGCTAGAAGCCTCCGGAAGAGTCAAACCGGCGAAATTAGTGCATTCCGAGCCCGGCCTCCAGACGTCTAACTGCACCACAGAACATTCCATGCATGTGCAGACATCTTGATGCCGTTGTGCAAGTACCGCAATGATGTCAAGATGTTTGCATGAACTACTATTAGCATTTCTTTGATTTTCATCACCGAAAGACATCACCCCCATCCACGCCTGACTCCACTGGCTCCCCATTCCTCAGAAGATCAAGTTCAAAATCCATGTCTTCACTTTCAAGGCCCTCCGTGGCCTTAGCGCCTCCCTACCTCTGTGACCTGCTAACCCCTTTTCAACCTGTTCACTCTCTCAGCTCCATGTCCCCTGCCTGGCCCGCCCCACCATCGGCGGTCGGGCCTTCAGCCTCTCTGCCCATCCATCCCACATTCCCTTCATCTCAGTCCATCCCTTGCCTCCTTCAAGGCACGTTTAAAGACCCTCCTCTTCCACCGTGCCTTCGTCCACCCTCCTACTCTCCCTGCCCTCCATTTCCCCTGATTCTATCGCCCCTCCCCCACCCCCAGCTCGGGTCCAAATCTCTGACTGTCCAGCACCATGTCCTCTCAACGTGAAAGGCACTATACAAATTTAGTTTTGCTCTGTATTGTATTGTGAATTGTGTTGGTTTGGAAGAGATTGAGAGACTAGCTGCTTACCTATTGTGCTGGGAGCTGTGTCGCTGGGACAGCCGTGTCATCGTGTTTAGGTGGGAAGCTGGGACTCCGGCACCGTCGGCTGCAGGTCCGGGTGCAGCAGGCGTTTGAGTTGCTGAGGCTCTGAGCTGCAGAGAATTCAAACTTAACAAACAACATTGATATTAACTTGGAATAAAACAAGAACTTTTTTATGGGCCTCGCCACGTTAAAGTGCCTCAAAACGCTTTGCATGTAATTACTGTCAAGTGTAGTGATTCTTGAACAGTAGCCAATTTTCACACAGCAAGGTCACACAAACAGGCGTGAAGTGAGTACCAAATTCATCTAGAGGATTGCTGGCATTGACACCGGAAGAATCTTCTCTTTTTGAATTTTTGATCCAAGGACTCGCCGGCCGGACCTTGATAAATATCTTATAAATATCTTATCTGAACCTGTGAGAATGCAGTCATCTCAAGGTAAAGTACCTTGCTGTGTGCAAATGGTTGCTGAATTGTCTACAAATAAAATTCCTAACCCTTGCCAATTACTGTGAAGAGCCTTGGGGTATTTGGTGCATACGGCGATGTAAAAATGCAGGTTCTTTACAAACTACGATGGTACTTGACCATTGCACCCATTACTCTACTGTTGCAGTTATTTAGCAGTTGATGGGTATCAGATATAAAATATATCTAATTTCATTTCATTCCTAATTTCAAGCAAAGGAAAACACCAGTGACCTCCAAACTGTCTTTGAGACCATAACAAGTTTACCTAACCTGGAGAAATATGAGCCGTCTGTATACAAATAGCAATTGCATTGCATTCCTGTATCTTATCACGCTTCCAGCACTTACATGCACCTCAGCTACTTCTTATTCTACCTGAATTATTCATTCCCCACTCACTGGACTCATGTCAGCTCCAACCCAGTAACATGAGCCAGGCCCTTATGCAATAGTTACTCTGAGATCCTCCTGGCTTCAATGTAAAGCAACAGTCAAGTCCAGAAACATTTGGAGCGACTGCATCTTTCCCGTAAGATGACTGTGTCGAAACACTTAGCAGCAATGGATCAACAACAAATTGCCTTTATATATTTATAGCCCCTTTCACGTCGCGAGGCATTCCAAGGAGGGAAGTTTGGTGGTGGTGGGGGGGGGGAGGGTGTTGTTTTTCCTGTTGTCACTGCCCTCTTGTGCCATGCAGCACTCTGGCTGCTGTGAGCGTCACTGGTTCGAACTTTGGTGAGAATTACTTACCGGCTGGGAGCTGTCTCACGAGCCAACTTTGATGAATTTCTCTTCTGGCCTCTTCGCTTTGAGTTTCTTCTAAAGAAACAAATTTCCCTTTTAGGTAATTTCTGAGCAGGCGGCCTTGTAACATTTCACTAATAGGGCATTATTTCTTTATAATAATGTCAGGAGTAACTTACTTACCTTTCACCTTTCAATCGTTTCCTTCTCGGTCTGAAAAAAAACAGGAGGTGGTAAACTGCGAGCACTGTGATACAAACACTAATATATAAGCAAAATGTTTGGAACAAGCATCATAAATGCAGTGGGTAAAGGCAACACTGCTTTCAATAGTAGGCTTTTCCGTTATCTGATCAGACTAAATTAGCGAGAGCAGTAGAAACCAAGATGCAACAGAACTACATACATAGGCAGAGAAATGACCACAAAAGTCTTCCTTGCATTTGATGTAGCGCCCACGATGTTGAAACATCTCAAACAAATTTTAAGGACAATTGCCGTCAAGCGTAGGGACTATTTTTGTAAGGAAATGCAACAGTTGACTCGCATACACAATGGTCCACAAACCACCATAAAGTTAAACACCAAATACGTGGAGGTTTGTGGCCAGGACACTGGGAGAAACTACTTTTTTGCCGAATAGTGTCAAGGGAATCTTTACCATCTGCCTGAACAGGCAGATATGATTTGGGTTTATGGTCTCATCCAAAGGAGCACCTCCAATAATACAGTCCTTCTGAGCACTAAAGCTGAAGCATCAGCCTAGACTGTGAGCTGAACATATAATTCTGAAGCTCTGGAACACTCTTCCTCTATCCCTCCTTCCTTCCCTATCTTTAGCTCGTGCCTGAAGACCTTCCTCTTCGGCAGTACCTACGGACACCTCCCTCTCCCCCAGGCTTGGTGTCAGCTTCTGCCACTGTCAAGCGCTCTACCCTACGTGAGGGACGCTGTGTAAATACAAGTTGTTGTTATTGTTCTGTGTTTCTGGGCTGTTGGCAGGCAGATGGGTCTGACACAGACCCATCTTCCCTCAGTTTGATCCGAAGCAGTTTAGCCGAGCCCTCACCGGCACTCACAGCTGCTGTGCTCAGTAAAAGTCTTCTCTTCCTGCTGAGTCACGTGCTCTGAAGGCTTTAATTTAATGATCTGGAAAGGAAAATATTGATGATGTGTTATTCTCGTTAAAAGTGAAAAAATACTGTACACGATTATTCCCCTTTTCAGCACCGGCACTAAGTAATTCAACAAAAATAGCTTGCATTCATATCGTGCCCCTCGCAGTGGGTAGGGTCCCAGAGCGCTTCAAAATTCTCCAAATCAAATCCTGCCACAACAGCTTGTCTTTCACCAAAAGCTCAGTATCCTATGTTCACTGCTTGAGCTGTGCCAGCAGACCCAGAATGCTCTCGGAACAGATAAAAAAAAGGCCTTTTGGCTCATCTGAAAAGGGATGAAAAGCAGTAGCCTGGTAGAATGATATTTACTGTGCCCCAACAAAGTGTCCTTCAGGCACTGACCAACACTAGTGATCGTTCCATTACCGTATTTCCTATTCTAACTATGCAGTGAAAGGAGTGTTAGGATTAGCGATTGGCTTGCAATAAATCTAATGTGTCTTAACTTCAGCTTCAGAATAGCTAATGCTATTCATGTGGCCTCTGAAGGTCAAGAAACTGTCCCTAAACGCGTTATACGAAGCATCTTATGATCGCAGGAAGACCTGTTCTCAACAGTCTGCACTGTATTCGAAACCAAAGGTTAGGATTACACTGCAAAGAACAATCCCTTGTAATTATCGTTATTAAATAAGGGTTTCTGTATTTGCACGCAACAATATAGACGCCTGCAGAGCATACAGTCACACACGTGCATTCTCGAACACCAAGGCTATCCGCAGCTTAAGACTCTTACTTGCATAGTTATGTTGTGAGTTTCCTGGGCTGTGCACTGGAGCTTCTCATCTCCACAGCAGCCGGCACAGCGGAACAGAGGGACGCAAGATGGTTTGAAGATATACGCGGACTCACTCGGGTACTCCTTGATGACATCCACCAACACCTCAATGGTTCGGCAGTAACTCCGGTTCCACACCTCCTCAAACAGAATCACTGCGCACACAAAGGCACAATCTGGAGTACTACAACTAATAATAATCCTTGCATTTGAGACAGCGCCTTATCACATCTTCGAGACTTCTCAAAGCGCTTCACGGAATATACGATAAGGTGAATTGACTGTATGTTTTGTGGGCGAAACACGACACCCCATGGCGCACAGCAGTGTCCCACAAACAGTTGTGGATTAAGTGACCAAGCTATTTTTTTTAAGGAATTATTATCCCCCGAAAAGCGATCAGCCAATTGACTAAAAACTGGGGTTCAAACTTACTGCTAGGTAAACGGAGGCATTTGTGTTTGTGTGTGGAGTAAGGAAATTTACCCAACATCTCGCCCTGACCTGCCCGGGAATTGAACCCAGGTCCTCTCGCTTGCGAGGCGATTTAACCGCTAAGCTACAGGGCACGGAGATTACTTATAGTGGCCATCTTTTGATCTATATAAATGACCTGGACTTGGGTATAGGGAGTACAATTTCCAAGTTTGCAGACGACACTAAGCTAGGAAAAGTAATAAACAGTGAGGAGGATATTAGCAGACCGCAAATAGGCAGGGACAGACTGGCTGACAGACACGAGGCAGATGACGTTTAATGTGTAGAAATGTCAAGTGATGCACTTTGGGAGGAAGAATGAAGAGAGGCAATGTAAGATAGCTGGTTCAATCATGGGGGTGGGGGGAGGAACAGAGATTAGGTCAGGGTAGGGCAAGTTTGCAGGGCTAATGGGAGAGAGCAGGGTAGTGGGATTTAATTGGACAGCTGTTTTCAAAGAGCCGGCACAGACTCCTTCTTGTGCTGTATAAATTCTATGATTCTATGAACTGTAAGAGGGGGTTTGGGTTTATTATGTGCCACGCGTAAACAAACAGAGAAAAACTATTTCCTCTGGTGGGTGGGGAAATCCAGGACAAGGTGGCATCGTCTTAAAATCAGAGCTAGGCCATTTAGGAGTGAGATCAAGAGGAAGTTTTTCATCCAAAGGGTAGTGGAAATCTGGAACTTTCTCCCTCCCCCAAAAGGCTGCAGATTATGGCTGCGGATTAATCCATTCACATTTTCAAGGCTGAGATGGATAGATGTTTGTTACGTCAGGGTATCAAGGGATATGGAGTAAAAGGTGGATAATCGGAGTTGAGGTACTGGTCAGCCGTGATCTTATAGAATGGTGGAACGGGCTCGAGGAACTGAATAACCTACTCCTGTTTCCATGTTTCTAAAAGAGACACATAGCTTTCTGGAGATTTCATTTTACTTGTTTTCTCTGAAAATGTTCTACTTTTTCAAGTCCAGAAAGAAAAGCATCATTGGCAAGACAAATTAACACATTACTACGGAAGAACATTGCAAGACACTTACAGTGCACTCTAAAAACACAGTTCCCAAAGCTTTGGGGCTTACCTTCTGTGGTCCGGGAAAGTTTGAAAGGCTGTAAGAAAGAAAAGGACATTTCCAGTTATGAATATCTGTCTGACATTTTCCCATCTTTATCCCATTTTGTTCTTGCTGAGATACCAACTCCCTATGAAGTGCATTCTATAAATGCAAGTTGTTGTTGTAATGGTACGTGATGCATCAATCAGGCCTTTGTGATCCTGTACGTGCCCTGTAGTATCTCACTGGATTGGAAAATGCAGTTATAATATATATATAATGACAGCTTCTGCTGAACATGGAATCCTGTAGTGTAGTGGATAGAATAATCGCCTCGCAAGCGAAACATTAGGCAAGTCTCCTTATTCCACACACCTCTGTTTACCTAGCAGTAAGTAGGAACCCGGTTGTTAATCGTTCGGTGAATCGCTTTTCCGGGGATAATAAACCCTTCAAGAAAAAATGTGGTCGCTCAATTCATGACTGTTTCTGGGACAATGCTGTGTACAATTGGCTGGCAAGTTTCGCCCACAAAATATGCAGTCAATTGACTTTACAGCATATTCTATGAAGTACTTTGAGACATCTCGAAGACGTGATAAGGTGCTATATCAAATGAAATGATTATTATTATTGGCTATAAACCATGGTGAAGAAACAAGATCTATTTATTCTGTGCAGACATCTGCCCAGTAAATTAACAACATTATCCACATTCACTACTGCCGTCGATGGGAAATAATACTGAGTCACAACATCTGCTCAGCATTTGTGTCCCAGAAATTCAGCACCATTGTGCCTGTGCCAGTGTTAGCTCGTTCACTGGAGCTAATCCCATTTTTTTCAGTTTCGCTTTGCCCAGAAATTCTTCAGAACAGCAAAGCCAACTTCCAAATGAAGACTAGTATAAGAATTTTCCCAAAATTCTGCACCATCTTAAATTTGAAGGCAGCAGGTCTTACAGGCTGAGACTTGAGGGAATATCAGGCCCTGATCTTGCACAACATAACACTACAATCAGAGAATATTATAGCAAAGAAGTAGCCCTTTGTGCCTGTGCCGGCTCTTTGGAAGAGCTTCCCAATCAGTCCCACGCCCCCATTCTTTCCCTATACCTCTGCAAATTTTTTCCTTTTCAAGTACCTATCCAATTCCATTTTGAAAGTTTCTATCGGATCTGCTTCCATAACCCATAATCTTAAATCTATGTCTTTAGTCAGAGCAGTGATGTTACACCCGGTGTCTGTGGGTGAAGAGGTAGCACTCAATTTTCCCACGATTCTTGTCAGCGGTTTAGATCTCAGATAAACAGCTTGGACCAAGGGATGTTCAAATATTGAACCTTTTCCCATTCCTACCACCCACATGTTTATTAGCAGTTCCCCACAGAATCAGACATCACGATAAACTCTCAGCTTCCATTAAGTTAGAACTCATACTCACCCCCATAGGATTGCTACACCACAGAAGCCACTGACTGCCTTTTGGCCTCTGTTAGCAATGGTTCAAATGCTTTACAGATAAATGGAAATAACATATGTGTGCGCTAGCACTGGGTAGCACTTCTCACAGCTGTCTGTAAATTCAGCAGAAACCTAAACCTAACATGGAAGAAAGTCATCTTAGGATATCTCCGTTTGTGGGCGTTTCGCCCAAAAAATATAGACAATTCACTTTACAATATTCATTGTGAAGCGCTTTGAGATATCTCGAAGACGTGATAAGGCGCTATATGAAATGCAACTATTATTATAATCTTCTTCAGCTTTGGACATGGACTTAAAAGTCTGGTGTCTAATATAAGAGAATATCTGTATGTACAAACGCCATGTTTGTTAGGTCAATGGCAGCTCTTCATCTTTCAAACATCATTTCCTGGTCCACCGTCCATATTCCTCAATACCTTTTCTTTCCATGTATCCACCTAACTCTTGAAGCATTTATGCATCTATGGCCTTCATCGGCAGTTGGGGTTTCAGCCTCTCTGCCCCCACCGTTTGAAACTCTATCCCACAGCTCCCTCAAGGCACGTCTCAAGACCCTCCCTTCGACCGCACCTTTGGCCGCCCTTCTACCCCCACCCTCCATTACTATTAATTGACTTAGCTTGAACGTTAGTGTGATAATGGCTCCTGGTTCTGAACGACTCTACGAGAAGGAAGCATCCTTCACTGTGCAGCTTATCAATTTGTTATCTTAAACACCTCGATCAGATAAATCCTTAAGCTTCTTCCTAGGGCTCCCTTCCCAAAGCATACGAGGAGTATTTCTGGGGAGTTTGCGAGGAAGCTGTGTACCTCAGTACCAGGCACTAACCATGTAGAGAACACAGGCAGTCACCTCAATCACTGTATCTGCATCTCAGATTACTATATCTGGCAGTTGTATACACGTTGTTGTAGGAAAACTAGATTTCCCACAGAATTCTTTTTAAAACACAAAGAGTAGACTTTGCGGAGTCGGAGCAGATAAAACCACTGGCCACAAGTATAATGACAGCGTCAGAGATTGCAATAGCCTCTCTGTATTGTATCCAACAATAATAACAGGTCCAAATGCTTCTCTTTCCCAGGACTACACAGAGTGCAGCTGGGATGAATGTTTTGAGGGGGCTGTTAGTTTATTTTGATTTTCGCTCAGTGTTTCAGCAGATTGACTTTAAGATCCCGGTACTGACCTTCATAGCTGTTCATCCTCTTCTCCTGTATCTTACCCTCCTCCCTGGGCTGCCGCTTGTTCCCACCATTGATGACCCAACCTTTAACTAGGACACCCTTGTCCACTGGCACACTCCCAAAATCATTGTCTCGTTTCCTCTCTTGACCTCCAAAATTCTTAAAAATAATCATGCTTTGATCAACATTGCTTTATCCTTTCTTTCCTCCTGCTCAACAATCCCTACCATATCTGTTAAGCACTTTGGAATATTCTTCCTACAAGTGTAGGTTGTTTGTTTAATTAAATTCAACTTTTGCACTTTGCTTCAATCCAGCACATTATTGAGGGGGAGAGAAAAAGGGCGAGAAGCACTGCATTGGGTGAGAGCTCCATCCTTTGTGTGAGACGTTGAACCAAAGTCCCCTCCATCGTTAAGGTGCACATTAAAGATCTCGCAACTCTTTGGGAAAGGGAGCTCTCCTCTAATAATCCTCCAGATTGGAACATTAAGAACACAGGAACCCAGTTGTTAATCGAGTGGCGGATCCCTTTTCGGAGTGGTTAATAATCCCCTCAAAAAAAATGTCTTTTCCAAAAAAAAAATTGGGTCACTCAATCCAGGACCGTTTATGGGACACTGCTGTGTGCAGTTGGCTGCTACGTTTTGCCCACAAAATATATAGTCAATTAACTTTACGGTATAGTCTGTGAAGCTCTTTGAGTCGTCTCGAAGAAGTGATAAAGCCCGATATCCAATGCAAAGATTATTATTATTATTATTCGCTTTGTGATAGTGTGTAGGACCATGTTGTGTGCAAAATAGCTGCAAACGCAGTGTCTACACTTGTAGCAATTACTTGCGAAATGCTTTGAGATGTTTTGATGTGATAAGACATAATAGTACAAATGTTTTCTTTTGTGGAGCCTTGGCTATCAATGTGGTACAGACAGGATGAAGCACTTCATTTACTTGCTATTTTAGTGATGCAATGAAAGTGATTTGAAGGCTAAATTTTGTTCAGTTTCACAGTTACTATGTCACAACACCCACGCTGCCTCAGAGAAATTTTTAAAATAAATACACTTGCGATCAGAGTAGTCATAAAATCGAGACCCCAACTCATTATTCTTAAGGCGGATAGGAACATTCCTTAACATTATTGGAAAAGAGAATGGAGTTTCTTCTGATGTCCTGTCCAACAATTCTCTATGTAAACTCATCATTCACATTCATCTCTACCTGGGAACATAACTGCATGCAAAATAATTATTGCATTTGTCCACAAAAACACTCATTTTTAATGAATCTTCAAGGTCTTTTACTGTGAGGGTGCTGAAGAAATGAAAAATAATAATAATAATGTTGTCACTCAATCCACGACTGCTTGTGGGACACTGCTATTGTCTGTCATGTTTTGTCCAGAAAATATACAGGCAATTCACTTTACAGTATATTCTGTATACAGTATATGCTTTGATACGTCTCGAAGACGTGATAAGGCGCTATATCAGATGCAAGGATTATTATTATTATTATTATGTTGTTGTTGTATCAATGGTAGAAGGAATAGGAAGGGGGCCTGTTGGTTTGATTCCACAAAATAAATAGTACTACCTGTGACTGGGGTTGTGCAAGAATAATAATCCTTGCATTTGATATAGCCCTTTATCACGTCTTCGAGGTGTCTCAAAACACTGTATTTGAAGCACCATTTTTCCGTATTATTCAGTGATCAGTCCGTCGGATGCATCACTTCAATTCCAATCCTGTGTGAGGCAGTAATCTGCTCCAGGAACCCCCGCTACACATTCCTGAGCATACAGAATGGCCACGAGATAACAGTGTACTAATGGGTAGGATCTGGAGTCCTGTAGCTCAGTGGTTAGAGCACTCGCTTTGCAAGCGAGAGACCTGAGTTCAATTCCAGGCAGAGGGCGAAACCTTGGGCAAGTTTCCTTACTCCACACAGAGCCTAATAATAATCCCTCCAAAAACCCAAAACAATAATTAAATTGGTCATTTTCAATCTACGACTGTTTGTGGGACATTGCTGTGCGCAATTGGCTGCCGCGTTCGCCCACAAATATACAGTCAATTCACTTTACAGTGTGTTCTGTGAAGCGCTTTGGGACGTCCTCCCGACGTGAAAAGCGCTATATCTAATGCAAGGATTATTATTATTATTATTATCTGTTTTCTCCTTGTGAAAGGGATTTTTACATTTGATTTTCATGTGATTTCTCACCAAAGTGCTCTATGGTGATTTCAGGAAACGTTGACACTGGATGACCAAAATCTAGGGGGAGGAGAAGTACAATAGTACAATATATATATATATGTATACACAATATACACCCTGTATGTACAGGGCGAAATGTTGGGCAAACTTTCTTACTCCGCTCGCCTCTGTTTACCTAGCAGTAAGTAGGAACGCGCTTGTCAGTTGATTGACGGATCACTTTTGCTGGGGTAATAATCTCTTCCAAAGAAGTAAATAAAAATAATAATTTAGTCACTCAATCCACGACTGTTTGTGGAACACTGCTGGGCGCAATTGGCTGCCGCGTTTCGCCCACAAAATATACAGTCAACTCACTTCACAGCATAACCTGTGAAGCGCGTTGAGACGTCGCGCAGTCGTGATCAGGCACGATGTCAAATGCAAGGATTATTATTAGTATTATTATAGTCCTCAGTCTTTAGAATTATGTCTCTGAAATTCCACCAAGTATTAGTGTCTGATATCATCTTATTTGAAGGCTCAGAATTTGGAAGCCGCTTTCCCAAACTGCTGAAAGAAAATCTGCTGCCAACTGAATAAGATTTTACGACACATCTAATCTTAAGAGTTTAATTTAAAATCTACCAGAATGCCCTGCCCGCCCTGCAACAGTCTGACACACACACCCCGCCCTGCACACACATCGCCCTGCAACAGTCTGACACACACGCCCCGCCCTGCACACACATCGCCCTGCAACAGTCTGACACACACGCCCCGCAGCAACTGTCTGACACACAGATCGCCCTGCAACAGTCTGACACACACCCTACCCTGAAACAGTCTGACACGCACGCCCCGCCCTGCAACAGTCTGATACACACGCCCCGCCCTGCACACACATCGCCCTGCAACAGTCTGACACACACACCCCGCCCTGCACACACATCGCCCTGCAACAGTCTGACACACCCTGCCCTGAAACAGTCTGCCACACACGCCCCGCAGCAACTGTCTGACACACACATTGCCCTGCAACAGTCTGACACACACCCTACCCTGAAACAGTCTGACACGCACGCCCCGCCCTGCAACAGTCTGACACACACCCTACCCTGAAACAGTCTGACACGCACGCCCCGCCCTGCAACAGTCTGACACACACGCTCCGCAACAGTCTGACACGCACGCCCCGCCCTGCAACAGTCTGACACGCACGCCCCGCCCTGCACACACATCGCCCTGCAACAGTCTGACACACACACCCCGCAGCAACTGTCTGACACACACATCGCCCTGCAACAGTCTGACACACCCTGCCCTGAAACAGTCTGCCACACACCCCCCGCAGCAACTGTCTGACACACATCGCCCTGCAACAGTCTGACACACACCCTACCCTGAAACAGTCTGACACGCACGCCCCGCCCTGCAACAGTCTGACACACACCCTACCCTGAAACAGTCTGACACGCACGCCCCGCCCTGCAACAGTCTGACACACACGCTCCGCAACAGTCTGACACACACGCTCCACAACAGTCTGACATACATGCTCTGCCCTGCAACAAAAGTCTGGCACGCACACACACACCCTTCTGTGCAACAACAGTCTGACACACACACACACACACCACACACACCCCCTGTGCAACAACAGTCTGACACACACACCACCCTGCAACAACAGTCTGAGGCACACACGCATATACATTCCACCCTGAAACGGTCTGGCACACACACACACCACACACACTCTGTCTGACCTGCAACAACAGTCAGACATACCTTTGCTTTCATTAAATAATTTCTCTCACCATCCAGAAGGGATATTTTGAGTTTTGTGTGGTGCTGACCCTGAGTTCCATCTGCGTTGCATTGGAAGGAGCAGTTAGTTTCAGTTCTGAACACACCACAAGTAATGCTTTCGCTTTTGTGGTTGTCACAACCAAGTGACACATCACATTCTTGTATTTGTGTCACAGGAATAATAGTGCTTAATATGATGGATTTACCGCAGCAACAGACTAAACCATAGGGTTGGCAAGATCACTAAAGTTATGGGTGGGGGAAAAGAGGAGGAGGTTGGTTTCTTTCCATATCAAGAGGTACAATGAGCAGCATTGTGGAGTCCTGTTGTGTAGTGGTTACAGCACTCACCTCGTAAGCGAGAGGACATGGGTTTGATTCCCGGGTAGGTCTAAATGTTAGGTAAGTTTCCTTACTCCACACCCACGCCTCTGTTTACCTAGCAGTAAGTAGGAACCAAGCGATCCACCAAAATCGTTTGGTGGATCGCTTTTCCGGGGGTAATAATCCTTTCCAAAATTAAAAAAACAATTGGGGTCACTCAATCCATGACTGTTTATGGGTCACAGCTGAGCGCATTTGGCTGCTGCATTTCGCCCACAAAATATACAGTCAATTCACTTTACAGGATATTCTGTGTAAAGCGCTTTGAGATGTCTCGAAGACGTGATAAGGCGTTATATCTAATTCAAGCATTCTTATTATTAGCACAGTGGATACAGTCCAGCATAGTAGTTTACAGCATCAGACCAGTTTAAAATATTTCCAAGATGTTTGGAAGTTGGGAAGGAGAAAACTGTCTAACGCACTGTGTGGACGGAATATACTATAAAGTATTGACTGTATATTTTGTGGGCGAAAGTTTACAGCAATTGTAGGATGCTAAATATATGGACGGAGCGCTGTGTGCGCCTAACAGAAGCTTCACAACGAGTTACTTTCTCTTCAGTAATGGAATTTAAAAGAAAACACTTTAAGTACAAACACTCTCCCCCCGCCCCCCCCCTCCCACCCCCACCCCCACCACCACCGATCTCTGAAATATATGCCGTCACCAAATATCCTCTATCTTACCCTTCGGTAACATCTTGCACTCACTTCACACAGCACCTTTCAAGTGGGATGAAACATCTCAAAGTATTTCACAAATATAATAGTCAATTGACTTTACAGTATATTCTTTGAGGCTCTTTGAGACGTCTTGAAGACGTGATAAGGCGCTATATCAAGTGCAAGGATCATCATTATTATAGAAAGCACAAGGAAGAGAGCATTTGGGCAAAGAAAAACAGTCTAAGATGATGTTCTTCAGACAAAAGTTGAAAGCCGACAGCGAGGAAGTGAGGCACGGAGGTTTGGGAAGAGTCGCACTAATGATAACAGGTCTAGACTCGGAAGGAGGGTGCCAGACCGTGAAGGAACTTAAAGGCCAGGCTGAGGGTCTTAAAGAAGAACCCCTCGGGCTGCTCAGCGCAAGGTGAAAGATGGGTGTGTGAAGCCTGTTGTGAGAGATTATAAACTGCAGCGTTTGGGATATTGGGATTGGGATCGCTTTATGCAAATGGGGGTTCAGCATTTCCAATCGTTTCCAGGCTACTCCCTCACCCACGCCGGGCAACGCGTCCGAGTCTGGTGCCTGAGCGTATTTAATTAAAGAATAATTAGATAGGAATAACGTGGTCACTCAATCCACGACTGTGCGTGGGGGACGCCGCTGTGCGCAATCGGCTGCCGCGCTGTTTCGCCCCCGCAAGATGCACGGTCACTACGCTTTACAGTGTATTCCGTGAAGCGCTCTGCGACGCCTCGAAGACGCGATAAGGCGCTGTATCAAATGCAAGGGCTCGGATTATTAATAACTATTATTATCTGACGCCTCAGACTGACTGGTCGCCTGTTCTCCAAATCCCCCCCCACCCACCCACCCACCCACCCTCACCCCCCAACTCTTGCATCCTGTAACTCTTCCACCATCTCACTCACCTCGTGTGAACCACGTAAAGGAAGGTTAAGGCTCAATCTTACCTGACAGGCGGGGACCCAGAGCAGGAACACGAGCAGCAGGACCGTGTCGGAGTATCTCCGGACGCCAGCAGAATCCATGGCCGCAGAGGGGGTGTGTGTGTGTGTAGTGTGTGGGGTGTGTGAGAGAGAGAGAGAGAGAGAGAGTCAGTCTCTCGTCCCTGTCTAGACACACGTGTGAGTCGGGTTGTGAGGCAGACAGACAGCATCAGCCACAGGGGCTGGACATCCTTATCGTAGAATCAGTCGCACACAGAGAGAGAGAGAGAGAAAAAAAAGAGGCTTCTCTGCCAATCCCACTCAGCAGCTTCAAGGCAAAAGGAATGATCTGCACAACCAAACCCCCCCCCCACCACCTCCCCCCCCCCACCCAACCCAACACAACCACTGTACACTTAAACACCACAGCTCCTCATCTCTCCGGGCGCTGAGCCTCTCTCTCTCTCTCTCTGTTCCCAGATCACAAGCCAAAGCGGCTTATGCTCTCATATCGCTCGGAGCCTCTTCCTTTCTGCGGCGCAGTTCTTTCTCTGGTGTGTGTGACACACAGACACTCGCAGCCTCGAGCAGTTTTTAACGCACCAAAACCACAGACCCACCCCCCCCAGCGAGGGTTTGACTTGACACACAATCCCCACCCCCCCCCCCCCACCCCCACTCCCCCCCCACCCCACACACACACACACACCCACACACACCCACTCCCCCCCCACACACACACACCCACTCCCCCCCCACCCACACACACACACACACACCCCCCCCCCACACACCCCCCACACACACACACTCCCCCCCCCCCACACACACCCCCCCCCCACACACACATCCCCCCCCCCACACACACACACCCCCCACACACACACACCCCCCCCCACACACACACACTTCCCCCCCCCCCCACCCACCACACACACTACTCCCTCCCAAACAGAACACATGGCGTGAGTGAAATGACACTGATCCACTCCGGGTACTAACACATGGCTATAGGCACAGGGCTAAAGCGCCAATAATATCCCACACACCTTCTACACACTTTGAAATATTATGACTTTTTTTGTGGGGTGGTGGGGGGTGAGGGTGGGGGGGGGGGGGTGGTGAGGGGGGGTGGAAGTGGATTAAAAAACCAGTCACAAGATCCCTCTACACTCCGACCATTCACTCTTTAAGGTGGAACGCGCTTTATTTATCAACAGCCTTTTTTCCAGACGCACTGTATTTTAGGCTGAAACGGAAATCCGACGGTGTTAATTGATTAATATTGATATTTACGAACGATGCGAATGAGAAAGGTTTCTTTTAAAAAAAAACCCTCGGTGCGATTACAACCAGCAAGGTAGCCGAGGGTTACAATTTGCAGATTTTCGGCAAAGTGAACAAAGGAAATGGGTCTAATTTATTGGTAGAAAGCAGTCCACTCACTGTCTTAGTCATTAAAAAAAACCCATCAGAGCGATTTTGAATCCAAACGCAGTCGCAGCTCAAGAAGTGTTTCACAGCGCCACCTTAAGAGGAAGATTGCATCAGTTTACACTGGCCCCTGGGGGTAGACAGTAATGTTTTCTTATTGCCCTGATTCAGCCCTGTTGTCTGGCCATCTATTATTAGAATAAGCCTTGTTTTTGATTAAGAGTCACCGAGGAGACTTGAAAGTACTTTCCGGACAATTGTGGTGACAAGTGTAGTGACTGTGGGTTGGCAAGCTGGAGGCTGCCGATTTGCACGCGGCAAAGACCGGTAAAGGGCCGCAACAACGACAGGGTCAGGTCAGCCAGCGTGTATGCACGGAGGAAAGTGAGTTAACCTTTCAGGCCCATGACCTTACGTCAGAACAACCAGTTATCTGCGTTTCACGTCGGAGGACGTCCCAAGGCGCTGGACAGTCAGGTTTGGACCCGAGCAGGGGTTGGGATCAGGAAGGGTGGAGGGCAGGGAGCATAGGTTGGCCACGGACTCAATATAACATCTCATCCAAAGGACAGTGCCTCTTGACAATAAAGCAGCTCCCAGTATTGTGAGCTCAAGTTCCAATTCTCCGACCCCGAGCAAGACCGCTTTGAACTGAGTCGAGCTGACTTGCTATGGTTTGCATTGTTTCCAAACTATTCCCCTGTTAACCTCATGTCTCCCTTTCTCCAGCAAACATTCCTCTGCACAGTGTGGGAGTCATTCAGACCCCTTCATCTGCTGTTTTCTGACACTGCTACCTACCCCCTTCCCTGCCCCACTGATGTGCAGCAGCCGCTTTAAAGAGTTCAGTGGCAGGACGGTTGAAGAAGTAAGAGTCTTGTGTGTGGGGTCTGGGGAGAGCTGATTAAACATTTCACAATGTGTTGTTGGAAGCAAATGGAGGCAGATGTTAAAGATCTATTTGGAAGACAAACGTGCACTTTCTCATGGTGCCCTGGTTAATATTCCTGACCAAAGTTACCAAATCCCCCAGATGAATCAGCGGTTCACTATGTCACTGTGTACGAGATGTTGCTGATGCAAATTAGCTGCTGCGTTTGAGCAAATAACAGCCATTACAATTGAAAGTCATTTTCAGAAGTGCTTTCAGACATTTTAAAGTAATATTAAAGCAAGTAACATCAGATAATATCTTATCACCCAACCATTATTTATAATTTCCTTCCTTGCTTTAGATAGGTTAAAATAGAATGGTGGTGACTGCCCGTCTCTGATGGTTTATTTTAGGTTATTCTCTATCCTGAGTGTGACTAGGCCGAAAGTGAACGCCGTCTATCCAGGTGCCCCCTTACTGCACGAGCATTTGTTGACGCTAAAACGAACATTAAACTTTCTAATAATAATAACAATCCTTACATTTGATATAACGCCTTATCACGTCTTCGAGACGGCTCATAGGGCTTCACAGAATATTCTGTGAAGTGAATTGGCTGTGTATTTTGTGGGCGAAACACGCAGCCAATTGCACACGGCAGCGTTCCACAAACAATCGAGGACTGAGTGACCAAATAATTGTTATTTATTTATTTTTAAGCGATTATTGCCCCTGTGAAAGCGATCCACCAATCGACTAACAACCAGGTTCCGACTTACTGCTAACAGAGACGTGTGTGTAGAGTCAGGGAACTTGCCTAAGGTTTCGCCCAGTCACCCCCGGGAGTCGAAACCGGGTCCTATTGCTTGCGAGGCGAGTGATGTAACCACTGAGCCACAGGACACCACATTATGTGTGTGTGTGTGTATGTATTTGTAAGGGATTGTTATCCCCGGAAAAGTGATCCCCGGAAAAGTGATCCGCTAATCGACTAACAACTGGGATCCTATTTACTGCAAGGTAAACAGGTGTGTGGAGTAAGGATACTTACCCAATGTTCGCCCTGCCCGGGAATCGAACCCAGGTCCTCTCGCTGGCGAGGCGAGTGCTCTAACCAATACGAACTCGTGTCGAATGCTGAAATGAACTCAAATATTCCAAAAATGACGCTGTGCAGAAAAGCAGATTGTGGCCGCCACCAGTACCATGACCTTTGGTCAGGCCCGAGATTATGTTTGGGGTACTCCTGGAATTTGCTTACTGCAGCCTAAAAGCTCGGTCCTTTTTACCACCGCCAGAGTTCTTTATTCTAGTCATTAACCTGCACGGAAACCGTGGTTGCACAAATGCTGAGAAATGGTTGACTGGTTGTTATCGTGCAGACCTGTAGCTCGGTGGTTAGAGCACTCGCCTCGCAAGCGAGAGGGTTTGACTCCCGGGCAAGCCTGTTTCCTTACTGCACACACACACGCCTCGGTTTGCCCAGCAGTAAGTGGGAACCCGGTTGTTAGTCGCTTTCCGTGGACAATCATCCCTACATAAAATAATAATTTGGTCACTCACTCCTTGGCTGTTTGTGGGACACTGCTGTGCGCAATCGGCTGCCACGTTTCGCCCACAAAATATACAGTCAATTCACTTTACCATATATTCTGTGAAGCGCTTTGAGATGTCTCGAAGATGGTAAAGCGCTGCATCAAATGCAAGGATTATTATTATTATTATGAGGGGCCTGATTGTGAAGGGAGATTTGAGAAATTAGGACTTTTCTCACTAGAGTTGAGATCACTAAAGGGGTGGGTGGGGTGGGGGGGGGGGAGGAACCTGTCAGATTACCCAATTGCGATGGTTTAGCGTAAATAGAAATACTGTAGATTCTTTCCATTAAGTCAATGAGTCAATAAAGTGAGGCACATATTTAAGGTCATTCCAAAAGGAATTGCCAGTGAAGGGGACATTCAGAAACATTTCTTTGCAAAAGGTGATGAGAATGTGGAATTTTTCGCCACAAATTATTTCTGATGTGTTGATTATTTTAAAAGGCAATTAGATAGCTGCTCGAAGAGAAAGAATATGAAAGGGGATAGAAGTGAGGAAGAGATTGAGTGGGACTGGAATAAGTGGTTTATAAATAATTAATAACCCTTCCATTTGATATAGTGTCTCACGTTGAAACGATTCTGTTTCACAGAGCTTTCCTATAAACCGTAGAGACTGTATATTTGCAGCCGAATGTGGTAGCGATTATTCTCCTTAGAGCAGAGACAGTTGAGGGAAGATTTAATAGAGGTGTTCAAAATTGTGAGGGATTTGATAGAACTGTTTCCTCTGGCGGGCGGGTGGGTCGGTAACCAGAGGACACAGATTTAAGATAATTGGCCAAAGAACCAGAGGGGAGGGGAGGAGACATTATTTTTACCCAGGTCTGGAATGCACTGCCTGAAAGGCTGGTGGAAGCAGATTTGTTAATAGCTTTCAAAAGGGAATTGGATATGTCCTTAAAAAAGGAAAAAAATGTGCAGGGCTATAGGGTAAGTGCGGGGAGTGGGACTAGTTGGTAGCTCTTTCAATGGGACGATTGGCCTCCTTCTGTGCTGTTATGAATTTGCACACTGCAATGTCCCAAAACCAGACATGAAATGAACGACTAATATTATGTTTGGAGGATTGTTGACCGAGGGAAGCTCCCTTCAATTCACTTTACCATGTGCAGGGCTTTGAAATGTCTCGAAGACGTGATAAGGCACTACATGAAATGCAAGGATTGTTATTATTGACACAGAATGTAGAAACACAGTTGTGAATGGGCATTATCCCAAGCACAGAGCTGTTTAAATTCCCCTCGCTCGGCACTCACTGAAGCACAGCAGAGCCCGGCTCAGTCACTCGCTGGATTTGATCTCTTTCCTGCTTTTTTAAAGCTGAGGTATTTTGTTTGGAAATACCTGTCATTCCAGAGAATTCCCTGGCTGGATCCTGATCCGGGCTCACATTCCACAACGCAGAGACAGAGACAAACAGAGATAGGTTCACGTTAGCAAACTGTAACTCCCCAGTGCTCACTATCTCCCCC